CGTCAAAACAAAGGCGCCGTTTTTACCTAGCGACATTTAAGTTAGGTTAGAGAATTCGCGCAAATAGGTTCTCAAAGGTTAGTGCATCAAAGGTGAGTATTTTATGTTTATTTTGCACAGTTGTCTCTGCGTATATATTAAGTAAGGCATGCGGAGCTTGTTTGCTCTCCTCCATCTGAAAAACCACCTACAACAGCAAACTGTGTTCGTATACACATACAGTTCGTGCACCTCAATATCACCCGTTGGGTTTGGTCGCACGACAGAATTTGTATAACGTGGTTTGATTGGTGACTGTTACGCAAATACATTGCTTAATGATGGCATAGGGAGAAGAAAAAACAATGTCTGGTCCTAGCGGGACAGGATAAAGCGCCGTCGACAACGTTGCATGGAGTGTTTGGGGAACTGTTGGTCGTTACTGTCATTGTCGTGTGTGTGTGTGTGTGTGTGTGTGTGTTATCGTGCCCAGACTAACCTCGCTGATGTTCATGCTGTCAATCACTGGTTTCGCTAGCCAAAACTATATTGAATATTGAAGACTCGTGATGAAGGCGGAATAATACTAATGGCCAAAAAACAACAATTAGCTGATAATGGTTATGAAACGCGTCTGGGTTGTATCCCGCCGCGTACCCATAATATAGCGGGGGGCAAATATTTATCAGTTCATTTAGCCAATAAAGTGTTTTTTTTTTAATAAATGTACATGTTTCTGTTAATTTTACATCATAATGACATGAAATTAGGGTGTGTGTGCTTGTATTAGTACGGACGAATGCTGGCTTTATTGTGCTCAGATACAATGCTGCAGTTTAACATGGATACCTTACTTAGAAACAGTTTACTGACACCGAGATGGCCAGTCGTTGGTTTAGTCCCTTAATGCCAAGCCCCAGGCAGGGCAACAACAAGTACAACCTTTTAACGTCTTTTGGCATGACGCGACCGGGGGTCGAACTCCGACCTTCCGCTTTCCGAGAAGACGCTGGATCCACTAGGCCTAGACCACTGTAAGCCACAAGCGAGGGTGTGGTGCTGACAGAAGATGTATCTAGATTAGCGCGCGATCCCACAATCAGTGAATGCTCGAACGCTCATTTAGAGTACCGTACCAGCAGTAAGCAATATTATTTTCATAACTCTCCCATAAATAGTTTGAAATAAAATCTATGATAGACATGTACATTTGTATTGAACGGATTCTTTATGAGAAAAAGCCCTTTACTTTTAAAACCCCGAGGCCGAAGAACACATTAAATTTGAAATTCAGCACTTAACTCTTCGCTCACGGACCTTTCATCAATGAATAGAAATAAATGCCATCTTTATCTGGGAGCTAGAGATACCTGATCTCCATCACTGGCTTCAGCTACAACGCTGGTTTTCTTTATGTCATACAGGGTGTATTGCATCAGTGGTGCCATCATCGAGTTCTTCACAGTAAATTACATGGGATCGTCGTGCCAGCGTTGTAGATCCATATTTGTCATAATGTTGCCAAGAGATGATTTAAAACGTATACTGCTTTTTATTTACCTCACTTAACTATTTTCTTTTAAGACCACATATTGGCAGAGATTTGAAAATTGGCTCATGTGCATTAAACGTTTTAGTCAGCTTAATCATTTCAACAGGTTACGGATGGAATCTGGACCAAATAAACGAGTGAGTGATAGCACGAGCACACCCAAACTGTCTTGGAGAGATGACGTACTGTCAGATTGCACATCGTTACACCCGATCCTCATTTTAAGCCGTTCTCATATTAAGGGATTCTGGGGGCTTATTCAGCCAATGACACCCCTACAGGCTGGTACACCATGAAAAGTAATGTGCGGTGAGGTGAGGTGAAATGGGTTACGTCTCGTCCAATTATATGCACATGTGTGTGTGTGTGGCTGCTTGTGCTGATGCCGATTTAAAAATGCTAGGCCATTGTTTAACATGCCGCAATTTAACATGAATACCCCACTCAGACACAGAATACTGACCCGAGCCGACCAGACCTTGTTTTAGCCGAGCGCCAGGCAGGGTAGCAACAAGTACCATCTTTTACCATCTTTTGGTATGACGCGGCCGGACTTTCCGTTCTCCGGGAGGACGCTCTACCACTAGACCACGGAGGCGGTCAATTTGTATGCGGGGATTCGCGAGTTGATAGTGTTTTTCGAAGCTGCCGTTTGCATTTGGTGACAGAAGAGCCGGCTGTTAGAAGATGTACGTTTCTATGTCTCCAGATGTATTCGGGATCTGTCAGTTTCGATGAAACCTCACTTACGGGATTAGTGCCAAAGAGTTGTGTGTCCGTCGAGAACTGTTTCACGCAAACTGCATAAATATTTTATTTTTGAAAGGCAGAGTTTGTTTGAAGTGTGGCCTTGTAGGTGTGCAGACATATCCGTTTTCGCCAAACTTTGATGATTGTTACTTAGATGTTTGGGCTGAATGTTTACAACAACATGTGTAGATACCAACACCACGAATAAACAAACAGTTGTTCACCAACAAGCTTGTGCTTATATATGTTGTGACCACCCGATCCCGTTAGTCGTCCCTTACGACAAGCACAGTCGTCCATTTACGGCAGGCATGGGTTGCTGAAGACCTATTCTATCCCGGATCTTCACTGGTCAGGTATTAAAGGAAGCCATCGGCCGACACTCAAAGCTGGAAGACCTAACGTATCACGTGACCTAAATACATCACGATGTTTTCTCTAATTCCACACACAACTTTGTTACAGCTACCAGTTCGGACTTCTTGTGGAAAAAAAACCGTGATGCTAAAAATATCACGCTGTTGTAAGCCTCGTTGTGGGATAAGCATCCCTTGGGATTGGCACCTGTGAGTTGCATTGCTTTAGCGTGTCCTGCATATCTGAAGTTTATAATGGGTGTACACTGTATATAGCTTTACCGATGATAAACACGCACCGTCAGTTCATTTACAAACGGTCAGACAGTTTTAGTGTAATTTTCAGATTTTTGGGGTTTGGTTTTTCGCTGAATGTATTTATGAATAAGTGAAGGTGTTGTGTCTATTGTAAAAGTGTTGTGTCTATCGTAGAAAGTGTTGTGTCTATCGTAGAAAGTGGTGTGGCGTCTATCGTTAAAGTGTTGTGTCTATCGTAGAAAGCGGTGTGGGGTCTATCGTAAAAGTGTTGTGTCTATCGTAAAAAGTGATGTGGGCACTATCGTAAAAGTGTTGTGTCTATCGTAGAAAATGTTGCGTCTATCATAAAAGTGCTGTATCTGTCGAAGCAAGTGTTTAGTTGTCTATCGTAGAAAGTGTTGTTGTGTCTATCGTAGAAGGTGATGTGTCTATCGTAGAAAGTGGTGTGGCGTCTATCGTTAAAGTGTTGTGTCTATCGTAGAAAGCGGTGTGGGGTCTATCGTAAAAGTGTTGTGTCTATCGTAAAAAGTGATGTGGGCACTATCGTAAAAGTGTTGTGTCTATCGTAGAAAATGTTGCGTCTATCATAAAAGTGCTGTATCTGTCGAAGCAAGTGTTTAGTTGTCTATCGTAGAAAGTGTTGTTGTGTCTATCGTAGAAGGTGATGTGTCTATCGTAGAAAGTGTTGTATCTATCATAGAAATTGTTGTATCTATCATAGAAAGTGTTGTGTCTGTCGACGAAAGTGTATCTATCATAGAAGGTGTTGTGTCTATCATAGAACGTGTTGTGTCTGTCGAAGAAAGTGTTGTGTTGTATCTATCATAGAAAGTGTTGTGTCTATCATAGAAAGTGTTGTACTGTCTATCGTAGAAAGTGTTGTGTCTATTATAGAAATTGTTGTATCTATCATAGAAAGTGTTGTGTCTGTCATAGAAAGTGTTGTATCTATCATAGAAAGTGTTGTATCTATCATAGAAAGTGTTGTGTCTATCATAGAAAGAGTTGTATCTATCATAGAAAGTGTTGTGTCTAGCATAGAAAGTGTTGTGTCTATCGTAGAAAGTTGTGTCTTTCGAAGAAAGTGTTGTGTCTATCGTAGAAAGTGTTGATTTGTCTATCGTAGAAAGTGTTGATTTGTCTATCGTAGAATGTGTTGTGTCTATCTTGGAAAGTGTTGGGGCGTTGTCTATGTTAGAGTCTGTTGCAGTGTGTATCGCGGATAAGCCATATGGTCTTGTTCCTATTTACGACAGTTATATACATTATTTCATGTAGCTGTGATGTTCCTTCGAAGCGACTTCTGGCGTTGTTTTTTGTACCTGGTGTATAACAAGACCAAGATGCAAGGGGCGGACAGGAACAAGCCAGTCTGTCTCTGTATTGATGAGGATGTGGAATAGTCCTGGAGAAAGATACCACATGTTACATTCCTGTTTTACTGTGTTGCAATAAGTGAGATTACAGGTCCCTCTTGAGTCGGCCCCTCGGCATTCTGGGGATAAACCATGTCCATTCACACCCATGCTTGTCGCAAAAACTGTCTGACACGAGGTTGAACGTTTGCAGTGTTTGGCCAGCGTCTTGTGTGTCACTGTACAGGCGTGATCGGTGCTCGTTCTGAAATAAAACTCTTTGCCTGGCCCAAACGCGTTTCTTTACATGACAAATGTGTAATTTGTCTCACTACTGCGTAAAACAACATTCATTCGCTCATTCTGAGCACCTTATCCGGGTCAACAATACCCACCGGTTATCTCCCTTGATGCGTAGGGCGAAGACCATGGACCAAATAAGCTGGGAATGGAATATGTCTGCCTATATGTCTATAAATCCTTTTGAAAGCTTTACTGGGGCCTTGAATGTTCCCTGATCAAAAATCTTCTGAGCAAAAGTCTTATGACGCTCTTTGAAATCATGGTATAAAGAGCATGCTCGATTGTACCGAAAAGGTTGTGAAATGTAAACACCAAAGGCTTGAGCTGCTGGAATATTGCTCGACATGAAGGGAAAGTTGACTCTTCGGAAGTTGAAGTCATCCCTCTTTTCATAATTCTTGTGGAGAGTGTTGTGTAACCTTGAATCTTTATACAGAATATTAATACATGACGAAGAAGATGAATGTTGGACTAATGATAGCTGAACATAACGAGGAGAATGTTTGACTAAGGATAGCTGAACATGACGACGAGGAGAATGTTTGACTAAGGATAGCTGAACATAACGAGGAGAATGTTTGACTAAGGATAGCTGAACATGTCAAGGAGAATGTGGGACTACGGATAACCGAACATAACGAGGAGAATGTTGGACTAAGGATAGCTTAACATGTCGAGGAGAATGGCGGACGAAGGATAGGTTGACATGACAAGGAGGGGAATGGCTGACGGAGGATAACTGAACATGACGAGGAGGAGAAATTCGGATGAAGGATAACTCAACATGACGAGGAGGAGAATGTTTGACTAAGGATAGCTGAACATAACGAGGAGAATTTTCGACTGAGGATAGCTGAACATGACCAGGAGGAGAATGTTTGACAGAGGATAGCTGAACATGACGAGGAGAATGTTAGACTAAGGATAGCTGAACATTACGAGGAGAATGTTGGACTGAGGATAGCCGAACATGACCAGGAGGAGAATGTTGGACTGATGATAGCTGAACATGACGAGGAGAATGTTAGACTAAGGATAGCTGAACCTTACGAGGAGAATGTTGGACTGAGGATAGCCGAACATGACCAGGAGGAGAATGTTGGACTGATGATAGCTGAACATGACGAGGAGAATGTTTGACTAAGGATAGCTGAACATGTCAAGGAGAATGTGGGACTACGGATAACGGAACATAACGAGGAGAATGTTGGACTAAGGGTAGCTTAACATGTCGAGGAGAATGTTGGACTAAGGATAGCTTAACATGTCGAGGAGAATGGCGGACGAAGGATAGGTTGACATGACAAGGAGGGGAATGGCTGACAGGGGATAACTCAACATGACGAGGAGGAGAATGTTTGACTAAGGATAGCTTAACATAACGAGAAGAATGTTGGACTGAGGATAGCCGAACATGACCAGGAGGAGAATGTTGGACCAAGGATAGCTGAACATGATGAGGAGAATGTTAGACTAAGGATAGCCGAGCTTAACGAGGAGAATGTTGGACTGAGGATAGCCGAACATGACCAGGAGGAGAATGTTGGACTAAGGATAGCTGAACATGACGAGGAGAATGTTTGACTAAGGATAGCTGAACATGTCAAGGAGAATGTGGGACTAAGGATAACCGAACATAACGAGGAGAATGTTGGACTAAGGATAGCTTAACATGTCGAGGAGAATGTTGGACTAAGGAGAGCTTAACATGTTGAGGAGAATGGCGGACGAAGGATAGGTTGACATGACAAGGAGGAGAATGGCTGACGGAGAATAACTGAACATGACGAGGAGGAGAATTTCGGATGAAGGATAACCCACCTTGACGAGGAGGAGAATGGCGGACGAAGGATAGCTTAACATGATGAGGAGAATGGCGGACGGAGGAAAGCTAAACATGACGAGGAGGAGAATGGTGGACGGAGGATAGCTAAACATGACGAGGAGGAGAATGGCGGACGGAGGATAGCTAAACATGACGAGGAGGAGAATGGCGGACGAAGGATAGCTAAACATGACGAGGAGAATGGCGGACGAAGGATAGCTAAACATGACGAGGAGGAGAATGGTGGACGGAGGATAGCTAAACATGATGAGGAGAATGGTGGACGGGGGATAACTAAACATGACGAGGAGGAGAATGGTGGACGGAGGATATCTTAACATGATGAGGAGAATGACGGACGAAGGATAGCTAAACATGACGAGGAGAATGGCGGACGAAGGATAGCTAAACATGACGAGGAGGAGAATGGTGGACGGAGGATAACTTAAAATGACGAGGAGGAGAATGGTGGACGGAGGATAACTAAACATGACGAGGAGGAGAATGGTGGACGGAGGATAACTTAAAATGATGAGGAGGAGAATGGTGGACGGAGGATAACTAAACATGACGAGGAGGAGAATGGTGGACGGAGGATAGCTTAACATGATGAGGAGAATGGTGGACGGAGGATAACTAAATATGACGAGGAGGAGAATGGCGGACGAAGGATCGCTTAACATGACGAGGAGAATGGCGGACGAAGGATCGCTTACATGTCGAGGAGAAGAATGGTGGACGGAGGATAGCTAAACATGACGAGGAGGAGAATGGCGGACGAAGGATAGCTGAACATGACGAGGAGGAGAATGGCGGACGGAGGATAGGTTGACATGACAAGGAGGAGAATGGCTGACGGAGAATAACTGAACATGACGAGGAGGAGAATTTCGGATGAAGGATAACCCACCTTGACGAGGAGGAGAATGGCGGACGAAGGATAGCTTAACATGACGAGGAGAATGGCGGACGTAGGATAGCTTAACATGTCGAGGAGAAGAATGTCGAAAACGAAAATGGTGGACAAAAAGGGGCTAAACATGGAGGTGAGGAGAAAGGCAGACTGAGGTAGCTGCAGACGTCAGGGACAGAGGCCTCTCTGATTAGCAACCTTTTCTCCCTGGGGCTCAGTACGATGTGTGAACACATCACTCTGCATTTCCTAGAATTGGAAGTCAAGACAATGATTTCTACTGAACGCACTGTCACAGCAGGAAGGCTAAAGCATGCAGGAAGATATATTTGTATTACATACCGATGGACAGGGATCGTTGGCGTGACCTTTCGGAGTTTTTTTCTGCGATAGTTTACTTCAAGCCGATTGGCTGGCTAGAGATTCAACGTCAAATATGGTGGGAAATAAGGGCATTGTATGACCGTATTTGTCCTCAGGTGACGTATTAAATTGACATTAATCTCGAATTGGAAAATGTATATTGTATCCAAATCTTGTAAGGCAAAAGTGATCCATGCAAATATAAATTTTACAATAAAGTTGTTAAATTCAGAATCGAATATTTTTCTGTCGTTCGTTTCGTTAGGGACAGAGCTTATTCAGGCCTTGTCCTGAATTTGTATACTGTGCTTGTCCTTATTAAAAATATATAATATACAAATTGAAATTGATGGATTAATATTGAGTGAACATCATACAGTTTACAGCGTTAAGAATTGAAACACAATAGTTCTAATCGAGCTTTATGGCCATTGATGATTTGAAAATAATGAATTCCAGGCCTAATCAGACGGTACAGGAACTAGAAGTCTTCAGATTAAAACCGATGGCTCTGTTTCAACAGTATCAGCTGCACCAAACAGTTTCCGAGGTGTTGAGCGGGATTGGTAGGTCCGTGTGAGCGTGCGTTTTTCTCCACGTGACGTTCGTATGAACGAGTCTCCATGGCGTCTTTGTGAACTGGTCACTATAGCGTTAGCGGGCCTCCATGGCGTCTTTGTGAACTGGTCACTATAGCGTTAGCGGGTCTCCATGGCGTCTTTGTGAACTGGTCAATATAGCGTTAGCGGGTCTCCATGGCGTCTTTGTGAACTGGTCACTATAGCGTTAGCGGGTCTCCATGGCGTCTTTGTGAACTGGTCATCGTAGCGTATGTGGGTCTACGTGTCGTCCTTGTGAACTGGTCACTTGAGCGTGAACGGGTCTATGTGGCATCTTGTGAATTGGCCAAAATAGTGTGATCGGGTCTCCATGGCGTCTTTGTGAACTGGTCATCGTAGCGTATGTGAGTCTCCATGGCGTGTTTGTGTACTGGTCAGTGAACGGATCTCCGTGTCGTCCTTGTGAACTGGACACTGTAGTGAGCGTTTCTCCGTGGCGTCTTTCTGAATTGGTCACCGAAGCGTATGTAGGTCTCCGTATCGTCCTTGTGCGTTGGTCTCTCGTGAACAGGTTGTCTTTGTTAGTTGGTCACTGTAGCGAGAGCGGGTCTCCGTGGCATCTTTGTGAACTGGTCACTGTAGCGGATTGGATGGTTGCACTAGTTAAACTGGTTGTTTGAGTTTCGTCATACGGCGTAGATTCTTCTTCATGGTACTAAACAGTGGTCTGTCTGGTTCATTCAGGCCATAGTGATATACTAGGATCAACCATGTGGCTGACTGAAGCGTCAAATACCCCTTCGCACATAAAACTACAAAGCCATTTCCAAAATCAGAACAAATCTCTGTTCAAGGCAGAGTCCATTGTACGATTCCGGCTATAGAAGAAGCATCTGCTTATGAATCACTGTGAAATAGTGATGACACCAGGTGTTCGCCGAAAAAAGAGCGTATCCTGACCCACCGGGGGCAAAGTCAAGTCAGGTGTTGACCTGAAAAATTACAGGAACAGAAAGTAAGTAAAAAATATTTGCATCTTCGGACATTATTTTTGTCACGGATGCGTCAAAGGTAGAAATGCCCCCATTATTTTGGTCACGGATGCGTCAAAGGTAGAAATGCCCTCCATATTTTGGTCACGAATGCGTCAAAGGGAGAAATGCCCTCCATATTGTGGTCACGGATGCGTCAAAGGTAGAAATGGCCTCCATATTTTGGTCACGGATGCGTCAAAGGGAGAAATGCCCTCCATATTTTGGTCATGGATGCGTCAAAGGGAGAAATGCCCCCCATATTTTGGTCATGGGTGCGTCAAAGGGAGAAATGCCCTCCATATTTTGGTCACGGATGCGTCAAAGGGACACATGCCCCCCATATTTTGGTCACGGATGCGTCATAGGTAGAAATGCCCCCCATATTTTGGTCACGAATGCGTCAAAGGTAGAAATGCCCCCCATATTTTGGTCACGAATGCGTCAAAGGGAGAAATGCCCCCTATATTTTGGTCACGGATGCGTCAAAGGGAGAAATGCCCCCCCTATTTTGGTCACGGATGCGTCAAAGGGAGAAATGCCCCCATTATTTTGGTCACGGATGCGTCAAAGGGACACATGCCCCCCATATTTTGGTCACGGATGCGTCATAGGTAGAAATGCCCCCCATATTTTGGTCACGAATGCGTCAAAGGTAGAAATGCCCCCCATATTTTGGTCACGAATGCGTCAAAGGGAGAAATGCCCCCTATATTTTGGTCACGGATGCGTCAAAGGGAGAAATGCCCCCCCTATTTTGGTCACGGATGCGTCAAAGGGAGAAATGCCCCCATTATTTTGGTCACGGATGCGTCAAAGGGAGAAATGCCCCCCATATTTTGGTCACGGATGCGTCATAGGGAGACATGCCCTCCATATATATTTTGGTCACGAATGCGTCAAAGGGAGAAATGCCCCCCATATTTTGGTCACGGATGCGTCAAAGGGAGAAATGCCCCCCATATTTTGGTCACGGATGCGTCAAAGGGAGAAATGCCCCCCATATTTTGGTCACGGATGCGTCATAGGGAGACATGCCCTCCATATATATTTTGGTCACCGATGATTCAAATGTAGAACTGTCATGTCTGCCATAAAAATTCTTGAAGAAAGAACTACTACGATCTTTGCTTAGGCCTGATTAAACAGTTTTTCGGCATGAGTCTTGAGTACACATACCATTTAGAAAGCGGTCAAATGTAACAAATGTTATATTTGGGATAACACTTTCCAGTAAAGTACAGATTCTCGTACAATTTTAGGTTGAGTCCCGTCCGGGATTCGAACCTACACTGCCAGCACACAAATTCAGCGATCTAACCCACTCCCGAACGGGACTCAACCCCCAAAATTACGAGAATCTGTGTAACGAAATGAAATATGTATTTAATATATATGCTATCGATTTGAAAAAAAACCTTTTTCAGCAAGTTAATATCGATCCGTAACGCATTGGACAAAGTGTGTAGCCTTAACCGTCGCATCGCTATATCGTTCCAATATATTCTTGAGGAACGAATATAATCTATTTACTTTGCTCATGTTCTGTATGTATGTGTCTGGTGTTTTTTCTGAAACGTCCACATCATGTCACTGTTGCATATATACTACGGCTACAGCTGTCGGCGCGCCCTTCAAGAAGATACTTATGTCCACCGTGTCTGGCCGGATAACTCACACAGGAATTCTTGTCTCATGACAATTTGACACGACTGTTCTTCATCTTACTTGAAATGTACGATGCTATCTGTACATGTAGAATATTGTTACGATATTTACATTGTCAGCGAGGTGTGTATTTGTATCCACCAAGCAGTAGAATAGTGTACGAAAGAGTAGCTGGAACAGTTGTCTGATGCGTTGGTATCTGCTTCGAGCGACCACTGGTGTACTTGTCTGGCGGTTGATGTTGTTCGGAGCGGTACATAGGTCAGTGGTTCGAGTGTTGTCATGGTTGCCTTAACCCTGCTTTACCCTTGCACCACCCGTTCCCCACCCGTGCCCCAACCCGGCTTTACCCTTACACCACCCGTTCCCCACCCGTGCCCACACCCTGCTTTACCCTTGCACCACCCGTTCCCCACAACCTGCTTACGCTTGCACCACCCGTTTCTCATCTGTGTCCACACCCTGCCCTACCCTTGCGCCGCCCGTGCCAAGACCCTGCTTTACCCTTGCACCACCCGTTCCCCATCCGTGCTCCAACCCTGCTTTACCCTTGCACCACCCGTTCCCCACACTCTGCTTACGCTTGCACCACCCGTTTATCATCTGTGTCCACACCCTCCTTTACCCTTGCACCACCCGTGCCCATATCCTGCTTTACCCTTGCACCACCCGTTCCCCACCCGTGCCCACACCCTGCTTTATCCTTGCACCACGTGTGCCCTACCCCAGCTTACCCTTGCACCACCCGTTTCTCATCTGTGTCCACACCCTGCTTTACCCTTGCACCACCCGTTCCCAACAGG